CGGCCGGAGGCTTTTTCGCCTGGGGCGGCGAAAAAGCCAGAGCCGGCCCTGCTCTGCCTTCATGTACATGGAGAAAGGCTAACACAGTGACCTGTCTGCTAACCTGCCTCTCTATGCCTTGTGCCCTCCTGGACATTTCTTGCTACTAGGTAGCTTACTCTCCCCTCATCTGAGCCATCAATAGGCTTTACACTGCCAGGAATCATCTCCTTTGTTGTCCTCACCATACTCCTTTGTATACCCAGGTGCCATCTCAATGGCATTCACATGTGGGTTTTTCATTAATAACTTCCCCAGAAGTTAAAGCCAGCTATGTGTCCGGATACACTAAATCAGGGGAATATGGCCTTTTGGGATAATGATGCAACTGCAGGCAGGTGCCACAAAAAACTAGAAATGAGAGTGTTCCCCTCATTTTAATTGGTCACATTCCTAGCCAGGGTCCTCTGAGCATGGTGAAGACAGGCACATGCCATAATTCAACCTTCATCAGGCCTTTCATTCAGACTCCTAGACACCAACATCTAAGTGCCCCTGCTCTTCAGACTCGGTGACATTACTGCCACAGCTACCTGGGGAGGTGGTAGGAAGGCTGCAGACCACAAGAGCAGGGGGTGTTCACCTTTCTGGCCCCTCACTCTCCTCTGCCTCCATGCCGTTCAGCTGCACAGAGCTTCCCATGGCTGAGAGGGTGCTGGAGCCTATTCAATGCAGATGGCAGCTCTGACTTTCCAGAAATAGGATTCTACTTGTACATTTCTCCAATTTCATCTTCAATAACTCTGATATGGACAAAGGATATTTGAATCATCTGAAGCCGGCTGATCTGACTGTGGACATAGTCTCTCCCCAGCTAGGTCCTCTGGGCTATAAACCTCAGTCAGTCCCAGTGTCAACATTAGTGCTATTTTTGCTCCTTGTGTGTCAGAGAAACTTCTGTTTCAAACTGACATATCTGTGGTGAAAGGTAATTAAAACAATCAGCGCAGAAGACACTTACCTTGGGCATCTGGATGCCCTCTGGACAGGTGGGCTTCACCTGAATCTCACTTTCTTTACCACAGCACTGAAGCTACGCAGTTGAGAGAGAGAGAAAGTCAAAAAAGGGAGAAACTACATACTAGTTTCCTACTGAGACTCTGCATTCAATGGCAGCAAGTGGGCCAGTAACTAAAAGGAAAGACTAGAGACAGGGGCACAAATGTATCCCTCTTTGGTAACTCCACTCCCTTGAGTAGATTTTCATGTACATTGAATGTGGCCCAAATTCTCAAAATTCCTTTAATTTCAAATTTCTGAATTCTCAATGGACAAGTAAATACCAACATCCAGAAACACGTACATAAAAAAAGGCTCCCGGAAGGGACTTTATGGCCCAGTTCAGATAGTCTGACAAACAGACCAGACTGTTCAAGGCAACACAAATCTCTGCCATGGAGGGCCCAGCAGTTTCTAAATCCCTTTACCCAGGAAAACACAAATAGTTCAAGCAGCATGTGTAGAAATGTGGGCACCATGCTGAAGCTGCAGCAGAATACGCTAGAATCTTTATTACAGACAGAATATGCTGTTGGGTTTGTGGCCAGTGATAAATCAGCAGAATGTTTCAGTGGGTTTGTTTTTCCCGTTGACACATCTCTGAGAAAATGCTTGGAATTCCTCTTTGGGTCATAATTAACAGGCATGGGAGAAGGACAAGAGGTTCAGAGGTTGTGAAATGTTAGTTATGAAGAATGCTGGAATGATAGAACAGTGACAAAAGAAAGGGTTTGATCTCTATGGGAGGCAGCATAGCTTGACGAAATGAACACAGACTTGGGCACAAGTAGGACTCTAAGTTCTGATCTTGGCTTGGTCGCTGACTTGCTGTGTGGCCTGGAACAAGTCTCTCATTCTGTGCTTCGGTTCCCTGGCTGTACAATGGGAATGATGACAGGACCTACCTTTAATACTGTTTACATCACAGTAGGGCGTGGGGGCCCTGGGCAGGACGTTGTGCTAGGCACTATACAGACAGAGGTGAACTCAGTCCCCACCATGACGGGTTTATGAGCTCTCACAAGGGAGTAATTAGTTACTGTCTGTACAGCTACTGTTCAGCTAAGTTTCAGGGACACTCACAAACTCATCCAGTTCTTGAGCAAGGGACATGAGGGCTAACTGTCCCAGGTGTCTGACAGAGAGAGGTGACGATGCATCGCATGGGAAAAAGGCCTCTTTGTTGAGCTGGAGTGGACCCTGCTGGAGAAGCCAAACCTGGTTGTTGTAGATTCTTTTGCGGATTGTTTTCTAGTTGGGCAAATGACACCTCGAGTGCACTGGGGACCAGATCTGCCCAGGACTCAGGCGAACGGAGTCCACTGCCCTCGGATTATTCTTAAGCCTGTGCCCTGTTGTGTGTTACTGGAGTTACTCAGCACTATGGCTATAAGGAACAGGATGGATGGGGAAGGGCATGTGTAATGTTGTGCTGGAGGAAACACATGGATAAACTGAAGTACAAGAGAAATCATTGGCACTGCACACCTGGTTGTGGCCTCTTCATTTCTATGGTAACAAATGTCATTGTCCAGATCCCTGGTGATGACATTATTAATTCACCATTAGTTTCTCTAGGAAGAACTTGGCCCAAACACAGCTTCAGAAACCGACGGGGAACATTCCTTGCTTTGTGGGGCAGGAGGCCACAGTATTGTCACGACAGGGTATTCTTTCCTCAAGTATGTGAATGAGGCATGGGGCCAGTTTGGCCTTAAGGCTTGTCCACGCATGACAGTTAGCATCAGTTAATCCTAATTAACTCCCCATGTAGAAAATCCCTTTGATAGCTGGTGCTGAAGAGAGCCCTTTAGGGCTGATGCAGCCCTTTAAATGCAGTTTGATTCAGAAATTTCCTGCCCATTCTGATTTTTTCATATTTATATTTGCATATTTATAGATTTTAAAGCCAGAAGGGATCATTATGGTCATCTAGTCTGACCTCCTGTATAAAGCAGTCCACAGAATTTCACTCAGAAATTGAAGGTCTAGCAGTTTTCACTTCCAGGGTTAGTACTTACCTGCAATTTGAGCCCAGGACTTCTGGCACCTAAAGCAAGCAGCATACACTTGAGCCACCAGGTCACCTTTAAACAAACCCCTCAATTCTACTCCCTTAGGGCGCAGACAGTGGGAAGCAGTCACCCTTCTGCAAACCCTGGCATTCGATTTTTGAAGGGCGCCACCACTGTGAGCACTGTTTAAGCTCATATGGGTTACTCACAGCTGTGTGGAACTGAATGAGAGTTTTGTTGCTCTTCCCCATGTCCATCACATAGTCATCATAAGCTTCTTTATAGATGGTCTGGACCTCCTGTACTGCCTGCAGAAATCAGACAAGTCCAGTGAGATACTGAATTGGAGACAACTGGGGGCCTAACAGATCCTACTCCAAATCCAATATAGATCCCTGGCTTCCCTCTCCAGCCCCTAGAGTCATGAGCGACTCCTCTACATTATTTTATCCCTAGTGATCTGGTGGATAGTAATAGAGATGCTCTGGGAGAGCAGGCTCTTGGGGACTAATGAGAACTTGGGCAGAACCCTACAGCACTTGTTTACTATATGTCTGCCAGGCACTCAGAACCCAGGAGAGGTTCACTAACAAGAGATGTTCATTGTTTTGATTATGTACAACTCCCCAGAGTGTCACCCACTCCCCTACAGCTCTCCAGGCAGTTCTGAAGTCGATGTTACTCTCACATACAGGGATTATTTATACCTTTGGATTTTCTGTTCATATGTGGGAGTGGAGACTATGTCCCATTCTGAAGCACAGCTTCTCAGGCTCATGACAACATGAGCTCTCTGTGTCTAGAGGGTCACAGAGTCCTCCTGTTTCTGTGGAATCCTTCCCTAAAATGTGGTCTTTACCTGAGCTCTTCAGATCAGTCAGCAGCAGGAATCCAAACCCAGCCCATAACATCAGAATCACCTTGCTACTCACCGCTTTTTTGCCTATAAATGCAAACACTCCAGCAGTGACTTCAGCAGCAAATATCACCAGCAAGCAGGCAAAAAACTGCAGAGGAGAAACAGAATCGGTACTAGTTTATTTTACATAAGGCCCTTTATACAAACTATGCATCCCAAATCATTCCACAAGGCTCAATAACACACAACAGCAGAGGGAGGAAGGTGTTAGCAGGCAGAGGCAAGGGGGAAGGAGTGGTCTTTTCAGATTAGATTTTCAATGAGATAAAGGGCAGATGAGGTAGAAATAGACCCCAGGAGGTGGCTCCAGATGGTGGAAGTGACAGAGGAGGCAGTCCCAGGAGGCAGCAACTGAGTCAAGCTAGCAAGGGGATAATTTCACACATGGAAGCTCTTGAATGGGACCTGCTGGAGATGTTGGGTTAATAAAGTAGCTGCTCATTATGAGGAGTAAAATCAAGTTACTGATCTCTGACCCACGAGCTGTTCCCACCAGTGATGAAATGGTGCACCCCTGAAGGAGATTTCTATCAGAATAACCTCCAACAGAGAGATGGTCCATCAAGCCTGTTACTTACCGCTCCAAGCAGGCACTGAGACTCCCGCACTGCTCCACAGCACCCAAAAAATCCAACTGTCATCATCAACGCCCCTGCTCCCACGAGCACATACAGCCCTGTGGGGAAACCAGAACCAGTCAGTCTCAGAAGAGTTCAACCAGAACAGCCTTTCAGGCATTACATCACTTTTCTTGGCAGGAAGAAGCCTGTCATCCATTCTCAGTCCTGTGTTTGTGCCCCAGGGGACAGTCCCCTCTATCTCTACAGCTCCTCAGCAGGGCTGCTGTGTCCCCCAAAGGAAACCAGTCACCTCCTTAGATCTCCTAAGGAAGCTCCACAAAGGCCAGCATGAAAAGAGTTCCATCTGTCAGGTCTCCTGTATGGAAACCTGCGAAGCCCAGCAAGAATTCTACTGCCCACCAATAGGGACCGTGTTTTATACATCACATCATATAGAATTGTCTTATAGCTAGTCACCACAGAACAAGGAGCAGGAAATACAATCCTCTAAAGTCAGCACTGCTCAGGATCACGTCTCCCTGGAGTGTACGTTCTCTGTGGAGGAGAAAGCCTTTGCCACACGGAATTCCTGTGACACTGAAGCACCTGTCCTGGCCTCTAATGGGACCCATCTCATAGAAACCTCCATAGCTTTTCTAAAGCTTATGGGCTTGGTTTTGCCAGCTGGCCCAGTGGGTGGTTGGGAAACACACTGGATTGCTGTGCAGGGGGTGAGTTTGGGAAGCCCCACGGAACCATGCTGCTGGGATGGCTGGGCACCGTGCTAACGACACTCTCAGTCTCCTCCAGAAGGGAAGGCACAGGCTCTATTGCATGGTGCTGTCCATGGCAGCAGTATTTCAGCTTTGGAAGATACTGCTGGCTACTGGAAACGAGGTGTGGGGCCTATTGGAAAACTGATGCCTCAGGAGAAATGGAATGAGACCATCACATTACAACTCCTGTGGACAAAGACTGGCAATAAAAAGTCAACGTTCCCTAAGAAGCTGCTGAGGGTCAGCCACTGTGAATCCCAATGGTGAGCTCTCCTTTCACATCTCTCAGTAGGGGCATCTCTCAGTAGGTCACTGGATACATGAGATGCTTCTCTATTTGGAGCGTGGCTTCTTTCCTGCGGAATAAGTAGCAGGGACACTGGTGCTTCGTATGATAGTTAATGGATCTGGAGTGTGCCTAACACATGCCCTTATAGCATACTGATGCAGATGCCAAAACGTCAGACACCCAGAGCTGCTAGGGGCTCATGTTATCAGTATAAGGCCAGGGACTTTCTTCCACAGACGCTGCCAGCACAAGCAGCATGTGTTATACTAGGCAGTGTCATAAAGAAAGAGAGACAAACCATGGTCAGATGGTCTGGTAAAGTGGTTATGTATGAAAGGGGCAAGCAGCCTAAAACTCACAGTCCAAGATTCTCATATGAACTGCAGGCAGCACCTCCTGCAGGGCCTGTTGCCTCCAGCCAGATTTCGTATTGCCCTCGATTTCATCAGACATGGTCCGAGTGACCCTGCAGTAGCTGGTGGGAACACTGTGAACTGCCTCCATAGTCTGGCTGGCTGTTCACAGCTAAGTGCTTCAGAGATAACTTGGGAGTGGTGGGTATTGTCCAGAAACTCTGGCTAACCTCTCTCTTGGACTTGTTCCCAGAACAGCTTGGGGCCATCTGGCCAAAGGAGGTTTGCCTGTACAGAATTTGCATGGCATGTAGACTGGTCAGAAACAGTGACAATCATAAAATGTAATGTATTAGTGGATACTGCAAGGTGTCTCAGGAGCAGGCTGGGGTGAGCCTGATCAGGTGGGAGAGGAGAGGGGAGACCACAGAAAGGCCCCTAGCGCTGAGGGACACAGGCTTGGCACCTCCATACATGTAAAACTAGACTGGCCAAAGTACAGTACTATAGAAAATATTGTAGTGATCATTTCTGACCCACTCTGAGAGCTATTCAGCTTTTGCCATCTCCAGCATCTCTGTGCACTTCTAAGTGACATGAGGTCACTTGCATGGCTTTGTGTTCTAGACTTTATCTGGGGGAGAGGGAGACAGGTGGGGGCTGCCTCTTCCAGGCAGAGATCACATCTTATTTATATCTGTAAATTGTTTAATGATGAATGGATAATAATTCAGCCTGGCTGCAGGCTTTCAGTCAGAGCGCAAGGAGGGTGCGCATTACTCGATGGAATCTATGATGCCTTGTCCTCAGGTACAGCACTGACCCCAAACAGGCCTGCTGTCCAGCACAGCACCCTGCTACTCCAGCCTTTGCCATCTTTGCACGGGGGCTGGGAACTCAGACATACTTAATGCATATCAAATGCTAAAATGAGCCTGCAGCACTTTCCATCTCACTAGCATGTGGGGGATGGGGATGCTAAGGTCGGTTGTCCCACTAGAGGGCACAGTCAGCCCTGCTTTCAGAGTCAACCGTACACTGTGCGTTTTCAGACTTTTACTATTTTCTAATGTTAAACATTTTATTTTTTAAAATTGACCCGAATCTTTATCATTCACATAGCTGCCAGCATTGAATACGCACTAGGCCCTGCGGCATCCAAATCTGCACAGAGACCCCACAGAAGGGTGTAGGAATAATTGAGAGGGAAATAATAGTTAAAACCTCTGCATTCCCCAGTGCATCGTGGCATCTCTCTTTTGGAGGACAAGTTCTTTGGGGCTCTCTCTGCATTTGTGCACAATATATTCAGCACACAGGGATGCTAGGCAAAATAGCAGAGCTAGTCGAGAAATAGAAAATATTTCTTCAAAAATTCTACAGAAAATAGTTACATGTTAACAAAAACTTTCATCCAGTCCCATAAGATATCATCATAATCTTATTACAATACTGACAGCCTCAGAACTGCAGTTTACTCAAACCATGGCAGAGTTCCTGCCCGCTTGTCCAGTAGCAAGGGACGATCTCACTGCCATGCCACTGCTGTCATTAAAGTGCCACACTGGAGGGTCCAAAATCCCAATGGCTTTTCTGTCTCTCTCCCTCTGTAATACACCTCTACCCCGATATAATGCGGTCCTCGGGAGCCAAAAAATCTCACCGTGTTATAGGTGAGACCGCATTACATCCGGGTAGAGAGAGGAACCGCTTTTACCGCTCCCCGCCCCAGCTTCCCCCCCCCTCCGGCTTGCCATGCCAATCAGCTGTTTGGCCCAGCAAGCCTGGAAGGGGGGGTGGGGGTAGAAGTGGAGCGGCAGCGGCGCGCTCAGGGGAGGAGGCAGAGATGAGCTGGAGCGGGGAGTGGTTCCTCTGCACCCCCCCCATTACTTGCTGCGGCCCTCCCCGGCCCCAGCTTACCTCCGTTCTGTCTCCTCCCACGAGCGCGCCGCAGCTCCGCTTCCCCCCCTCCCGCCAAGGCTTGCCACGCCAATCAGCTGTTTTGCGCAGCAAGCCTGGAAGGGAGGAGAAGCGGAGCTGAGCGGCGCGCTTGT